AAACAACGAGTGCAAGTGACGAGCTCGATTAACGGCCTTCTGCAGGCGTGGAAGGTAGCGTGAAGACAGCGCCCAAGAAAGAAGTAAAGACCACGTCTTCAAGAAAACCTAAAACGCCTCCCACACACGCTTTACAGGCCCAAGAAGAAGTGTCCGACAAGACATCCAGACATTTTAGGAGCTGGTCACCATCGCGAAAGTTAAAAAGTGACAGATTTTTGCAAGCTGCACAATTGATATTTTAGATGCGGAGCATCTTATACTCGCGCCTTGTAGTGCGCCGTCCGCACCGCTTCTCGAACATTCGACAGCTGACGCGCGCGCATGCGCCGTCGCGCCGTCGCCCACTCTTCCACCATCTGTGCATCCCTTCCTCCTTACACACCGCGCGCGCTTCACTCCTCCACCATCTGTGCACCCTTCCTCCTCTACACACCGCGTTCGACATCTACAATTCTCCTGATTCTCCAGTGGACGCGCATGTGGCGTCGCGCTTCGAGAACATTCAACAGCTGACAGTGCATGCGCCGTCGAGCTGTATATATACTCAAGGTCGGCGCTCGCTCGCTCAGTTGCCGCTCGTCGGTTGGTTTGTACGGCGCGTCGACGTCCAAGGTCGCGGTGAAATGAATTCCAACGAATCCACAAACACAATGATCGACGTCCCTTCGACCAGCGCCGCCCTTTCGCATACGTGTGTACGTGTTCACTCATTTAACACCCCCTCCTACAACCATGTTAACCAATTTAGCCATCGACCCAAGTAAGTCGCAATTTAACACCCCATTTCACAACCACGTTAACCAATTTAGCCATCGACTCAAGTAAGTCGCACTTTAACACCCCGTTAATGAATTATATGGTCCGCATCCTCCTCAGTGTTCCCCCGAGGGAAGCTGCGGGCAATTTTTTGTCTCCTGAAAATACGTGTTCTCACGGCACGTTGTCTACAGCCACAATCTCTCAGCGTCGCTCCAAGCCTGGTAGCTCAAGCAGTGGAAGTGGCGTCATCACCTCCGGAACGTCTAAAAAGCCCCGAGTGTATTTGCTAAACCGAGATCCATTTCCTGATGCGGGGGATGACTCAATGTTTTTTTTTATTTGTGCGGCCCACATCCATATTTTACGCTTTCTGTTGCCTGTACCGTTGAAATGCTTGCTTCGCAGCCGCACAACTACTACGCGTTTGTTGTCTCTGATCCACGCAAACTGTCTAGTATTCCACATGTTACTGTCATTCACGATGAAACCTTCATGCGCCAATTTGTGAGTTCTCTGCTGTGGCGGATATGCCCTGTTATAGCAATCGCATCATGTGAGTTACGTTGCATGCTGCGTATACTATTACTGCTGTAGCGAAGAACTCTGAAATGGGTCGAACTCTTGAGTACCTTCTAGTGGGGCTATCCAAAGGGAACACCGCTCGCGCTGTGAGTCCGTGCTTGGCCGTGACTGTCGCCATAGCGTTTGATCACTGGTTGCCGGCTAATAAACGCCTTAACAAATTGGCGGAGAGTGCTGCATTCCCGTTCGATGCCCTTGGAGCTTCGATCACGTACCCTACCATCTACCATGCCCCACGTCGTCTCTCAGCAAGCACCTCCTTCCATGCCACCCCCTTGTCCCGGTGTCCCCAGGATCCGCGATCCACCCATCTTCACTTGCCCCGATGGCACTGACGTGGAGGACTGACTCATCATTTACGAGTGCGTGAGCGTCCCCAACAAATGGGACGATGACGGCAAGTTGATGAACTTGGTGTTCTACCTTGCGGGCGTAGCCAGTTTGTGGTACAACAACTACGCGTCGGATTTTGCAATCTGGTGCGATTTTAAGGCCGCTGTAATCAACGTTTTCGGCCGCCTTGCCGTTCGTAAGCTGAAAGCCGAGCAGCGCTTACGTGAACGCGCTAAGCAGGCTATTCAGTCATTCACCATCTATATTGAAGATGTCCTGGACTTGTGCAACAAATCCAATCACACCGTGTCCAAGTCTGACAAGATTCGAAACATCACGAAAGGCATTGACGATGATGCCTTCACGATGCTGCTCGCAAAAAACCCCGGCACGATTGATTGATATGTGAGGTTTAACGTCTCAAAACCACCATATGATTATGATAGACGCCGTAGTGGAGGGCTCCGGAAATTTCGACCACCTGGGGTTCTTTAACGTGCACCCAAATCTGCGCACACGGGCCTACAACATTTCCGCCTCCATCGGAAATGCAGCCGCTGCAGCCGGGATTCGAACCCGCCACCTGCGGGAGAGCGGCCGAGTACCTTAGCCACTGACCACCGCGTCGGTGCAAAAAAAACCCGGCACAGTGACTGAGGTCATCACACTGTGCCAGAGCTACGAGGACCTCCGCTGGCAGCGTTCGATGACCCGTCACTCCCCACCACGAGCTGCAACGCTTGCTGGCTTAGAGGCCAGTTGTGAGCAAGTGGCGTTGATGGCAGACCTCAAGTTCTTCATCCGTGAGGAAATCGTGCGCTAGTTCTCCCTCCTGCCCTTTGCCCACCCACCAGCTGTTCAACAATCGGCCACTACCCTTTTCCCTCCCATCCATCGAGCGATTGAGCATGAAATAGCGGAGGTCATGCCTGCGTACCACCTCCGGCTCCGGCGCCTCTGAGTTAAGGAAGTGGTCGCCAGGCCACCTGAAGTCGTTCCAGCACCCGCCCCTCTGACTTACGCCGAAGCTGCCGCTCGATTACAGTCCTTTGCAGCGGGTATGCCCGCTACGTATGTCGACGCAACCCATCAGCCTCAGCTTCATCCCACCATGCAGCCTTTCCAGTCACCGTTCCGTCCATCGGCTCTGGCGACATGGGTGAGACCTACCCCGGCGAACCGATGGCGCACACCCGACAACCAGCCCATATGCTTTGCTTACGGTTACGCCGGTCCAGTAGCACGTTATTGCTTTTGCGTACAGCCGGCTCCCATTTCTCTGCCTGTTGCTGGTCAGCTCAGCCGTCCCTATCATGACGCACCACCGTCTATGCCACCACGGTCTCGCCCAGGTCCATCTCCTCGAAGGTCGCCGTCTCTACGACGTCGTTCCTCGTCCCCCATGCGGCCAAGTTCGGCTGTTCATGAGCGGAAAAACTAGTCGTCGCAGTCCCCGAGGCAAGGACTGCGACGCTATCGCAATGTGAAAGCCCTCAGAGCAGCCCCTCGAATGTCATTGACGTGTTTGTAGACGGTGTTCGTGCATCAGCTCTTATTGACACTGGAGCTGCCGTATCAGTTATGGACGAAAAATTTTGCCGTTTACTTCGAAAATGACGACACTACTTTCTTAATTGTCCCTCCATACTGCTAGTTCACATCGTATTCATCCTACAGCAGGGTGCACAGCTCGCGTTGTCATCCAGGAGGTTCTGTTTGTCGCCCAGTTCTTCATCATTCCGGCCTACCCTCATGACGTCATCCTGGGATGGGATTTTCTCTCCCACCTCGACGCCGTCATCCATTGTGCCTCCACCGAAATTGAACTCTCACCCTTCTCGCATTTGACGCCAGATGACAGTCCCTCGACCCTGAGCAAGATTATCATGAAAGACGATATAACAGTGCCTCCGAACTCGACGACGGCTGTGTCGGTTCACTGCGCCGGTCTTTCCGACACAATTGCACTCGTTTCGCCATCCAACCGCACTTGTAGCAGGTGTTATTATTGGTGTTGCTTACTGTGTCCGTTCTATCTGTGCACGTGAGTAAATCGCAGCGCCAGTTCTTCGAGTATCATCACGTTGACTTCATCTACTGCCGCTTGGCACAGGAGAGGCCATGGCGTCACCTGACTCATTGCTGTTACAGAAAGAACGATGGATTCTTTTCGCCCTAAAAATATTTTTAAATGAATAGGCTATCTTTCATGACTTTCAATGTTCGTGGTTTCTAGGATCATGTCAAACAACAGGAGATAATCAACCTTGTGCGCTCGCTCGGGTAGATGTGCCTTTTGTACATGAGACCAACTTTTCAACGCGGCACGACGTCATGACCTTCCTTACTAGATTTTCACTTGAAGCCCTCTTCTCCTTAGCGCAGACGAAGTCACGTAGCACTGTTGGCGTGGTTCTCAATGCGAAGTTAAGGAGGGGTGCAGAAGGCCTTCGATGCAGAAGGCCATGTTATTGCAGTAGACATGTGAATAAACGACCAGAAAATTCGATACACCAACCTTTACCGTCACCCCCGGAAAATCTTTTCAGGCCTGCGCCCAGCAATTTGACGTCATTTCCGGCCGGCCGACTCTCGGGGAAGCCGCAGCGGCAGCGAGCGCAGCGCGGGCGGCGGTGGTGACGGTTCGGCGGCGTGGTGTTGACGGTGTTTCACGTTTGTTGCTTTCCGTTGTTGTTTTGCGGCAATTTCGTTTCCGTGCGTGATGCTGGAGTGATGCGACAATGCCGAATAAGTGTTGTGTACCCGGATGCACCGGCAACTACAAAACAGGAAAGAAGATACAAGTGTTTTCCTTCCCTAAAGACGCCGACGCTCTCAAACAATGGCTACGCGCCATTCCTAGGAAGGACTTCGTGCCGACTTCGTGCACTAAGGTAAGAATTTGAGATGCTCCTGTTCTTAGCTTGTCGTTGCTTGTTCGGGTAGAAATCACCTATGATGGGAAATACTTGAGCGTGTGGCCGCCGGGCCTCGCGAAGCGCTGACGCCAGCAGCGTTCGCAGCAAGGATGGTCAGCTGCGCTTTGTTCACTAACAGTGCCGTGGTGTCGTCCATTCTTGCAAGCTCTCGGTGGAAGCGCTTCGTGGAGTGCGGTGAAATCACGCTCCCGTGTTTCCTTTTGTTCAGAGACGCCGAGTAAGACACGAGCATGGCTCATAGCAACAACAAGAAGACCCCCCTTTATTCCCAACTGCCCCCCTGCTATATACCCCACATGAGGTGGCGCGCGCATGCCGACAGCGCCATCCATTAGAGGATTAACATAGCACTCAGCGTCCACTACATCTTCCCTCCCGGGATAGTTACATGTTCAACCTGCGCGGCGGTTTCACGGCACGGCCAGAACGCGTACGCTTAGGTTCATCACACTGAGGCGCACTTGCTTGCACAGGTAGCGTCTGCACTTCAGGCGAGGGAGGCATCTTCACAGGCGGCACAGGTGATGCGCACGAAGCACTTGAAGCACTTGGAGACAATGATTCCGACGCTGAGGTCGAGGCTGAGTCTCTTGGCGGATTTGATGACAAGGTTCCATGCGTCGGTGATGAAGCCATTGATGCTTGCTGTTGGACATTTTGGTCATCTACAAACGGCACCAGATGGCAACGGTTCCTCTGGACAACACCACTTTGAGTCTCGACCACATATGACCTTGGTCGCTGAGCTGGGCTGAGGACACGACCGCTGCAACCTAAATCCTTTATCCACACATCCTCCCCCATACTGAGAGAAATCAGAGGAGTAGTACTGTGACGGCTATTGTAGTCCTTCGCCTGTTTCAACTTCGCCGCAGTATCCTGTGCTTGAAATTCCTCGTGATTGGGTAAGGCCGGAAGAAGTCGTTCAGGCAGAACCGGAAGACGAGTTTGTAGTCTCCTTCCCATGAGTAACTGAGCTGGAGAGACGCCCGAAACTCCAGGTGTGTCTCGGTATGCGAGTAGAGCGAGGTACGGATCCGGGCTTTTCTTCAGCAAATCTTTCACGGTACGCACCATGCGCTCTACCTCTCCGTTACTCTGAGGGTATCGAGGGCTGCTGGTCTCGTGGCAGAATCGATACGCCGTTGCAAAGTCGGCGAACTCCTTGGACGAGAATTGAGGTCCATTGTCCGTCCGCACAACGTCTGGTATCCCAAAACGGGCAAAACAACTCTTGACCGCAGCAACAACCGCTTTTGCTGATGAAGTTCCCAGTGTGACTATTTCTGGAAATCGGGAGTAGTAGTCGACAATGAGGACGTAGTCGCGTCCTTCCAGGTGGAACAAGTCGATTCCCAGGCGTTGCCATGGTCGTTCCGGTGTTGGCGTTGGTGACAGTGGCTCAGAACGCAAGGTTCGCGTCTCAGCACACTTAGCACATTGAGCCACAAGGTCCTCAATATGCTGGCTGCAATGGGGCCACCAAACGCACTCGCGGGCGCGCACTTGACAGCGGCGGACACCTTGATGTCCTTCGTGCAGTAGTGCGAGAATGTCCTTGCGTTGGGCTGGGGACCTTCTCAGCTCAACTTCATTCACGTCGGTACACCGGGACTTCAGCCTCCGTCGCCTTTCAACTTCACCAGCCCTGGGGAATGGACAACATGGATAACGAGGTACGAAGATTACGCCTTCGCGGCCGGTATCAACACAGCCACCGACGAGGTGCAGGTGCGAACTCTTTTATATTGCATGGGTTCCCAAGCACGTAGCGTCTTGTCGTCGCTAGGACTGTCTGCTCCGGAAAACCGCCCGTTTGCGGAAGTCAAGGCTAAGCTCACTTCGCATTTTGTCCACCCTATCAATGAGATTTACGAGAGCCGCCGATTTCACCGCCGAGTGCAACAACTTGGGGAGCCGGTTGATGAATTTTTCACCGCGCTCAGGAATCTTGTCAAGCGTTGTGGGTACAACAACGCCGAGATCGAAGACCGCCTTGTGCGAGACAAGTTTGTCGTTGGATTGCGGAATGAGAAGCTATCGGATCAGTTGTGCCGATGTACGAAACTTACAGCTGAGGAAGCGTTGTGCCAAGCGCGTGTTCATGAAGAAGCCGAAAAAGAGCGTCTATCCCGTGAAACTCCCAGCGAGAACGGGGCCTTTGACAGCTTAAACGTGGACGCGGCGCAACGCGCGAAGAACGCTTCATCGCGTCGCAGCAAATCTGTGCAGCCAACTCAGTCTACTTGCGACTACTGCGGCCGTGGTCACCACTCTCGAAAAGAATGCCCAGCTCGCAAAGCCACATGCAATTTCTGCAAGAAGCAAGGTCATTTTATTGCTGTTTGCCGGGCCAAGCATCGGAAAGAGCTGTTAGGCTCAGTGGAACTTCACGCGCTCAGTACGCGTCGGGCACGATATGCCGACATTCACGTGAATGGTCACCTCGCACACTTCAAGATAGACTCAGGGGCCGAAATAACGGTGGTTTCACCTTCTTTTCCGGCATTACCTACTGTTTTGGATAAAGTGGACGCCGAGGTATCCGGTCCTGGAAATCAAAGGCTGCACGTTCTGGGATCTTTCACTGCTACCTTGCAGTGGCGTAACAAAGTGTCTGTGCAAAGACTGTATGTTATCAAGAACCAGACGACACACCTCCTGGGATTACCAGCAATTGAAGACTTGGGCATCGTTCAGTTTTTGGACTCTGTGGATGGTATTCCGTCATCTCAATCAAAAATTTTTCGTGGGCTTGGCGAAGTACAGGAAGAATACCACATCCGCGTCGCTCAAGATGCTCGTCCCTTTTCATTAAGTGTTCCTCGACGAATACCTCTGCCTCTGCTAGAGCATGTGAAGAAGGAATTGGATGAAATGGAAACCCAAGGAGTCATTCGCAAGGTTGACACGCCTACCGCATGGTGTTCAGGCCTCGTCGTCGTGCCGAAGTCGTCGGGCGGGTACAGGCTCTGTGTCGACTTGACGAAGCTTAACAAGGTTATCCAGCGGGAACGCTACATTCTGCCGACAGTTGAAGACATCTTAGGTCAGCTTGGTGGGGCACAAATTTTTTCCAAGCTCGATGCAAGATCCAGCTTCCACCAAATAAAACTAACTCGTGAGAGTGAAGAACTGACGACATTCATCACACCTTTTGGCCGATATTGCTACAAGCGTCTTCCCTTTGGCATTGCGACAGCACCCGAGTATTTCCAACGCTTCATGTCGAGACTGCTCGAAGGCATCACCGGAGTCGTCAACATGATAGACGACATACTCGTCTTTGGTAGGAACCATCAAGAGCACGACCAGCGTCTAGCTGACGTCTTGGCACGGTTGACTCAAGCGGGTGTCACTCTTAATGAAAAGAAGTGTCAGTGCAGGGTCTCTTCTGTCAAGTTCTTAGGAGTTGTCGTCAGCCAGCAAGGAATTAGTCCAGACCCGGACAAAGTCAAGGCTATCATGGATCTCCCACCACCAATCGATGTTAGTGGTGTTCGCCGATTACTTGGAATGGTAAACCATGTGGCTCGATTCATTCCAAAACTGTCTGAGATCTCCGCACCTATTCGTGCACTCCTCAACAAGAATAACGCGTGGAGCTGGAGTTACAACCAAGAGGAAGCGTTCAAGAAGATAAAGTCTTTGCTCAGCTCCGACACATGTATGGCTATGTACAATCCCACTTCTGACACCATGTTCAGAGACGCCGAGTAAGACACGAGCATGGCTCATAGCAACAACAAGAAGACCCCCCTTTATTCCCAACTGCCCCCCTGCTATATACCCCACATGAGGTGGCGCGCGCATGCCGACAGCGCCATCCATTAGAGGATTAACATAGCACTCAGCGTCCACTACACCTTTCATGTTGCTTGTACCGCTTAGCGCAGCGCTTTTATTTAGATGCTTGCGAAACGTAGGTAGACTTTGTTTTAGCTACACGGACTGTAAACGCGGTCATGCAAACGGGAGCGCATTTTTTTCTTTTGAGAAGTGGCGTCTCAGACGTTCTTGAAACGTTTTTGCAGGTGTGCGCGAATCATTTCGACGCTTCATGCATTGAGAAGACGACATCGTAGACGGATCCAAGGACAGGGAGAGTTATTGAAGTTGCACTCCCAGTACCACGGTTGCGTCCTGGATCTGTCCCAACGGTATTTTCCGGCTGTCCGTCCTACCTATCAGTACGAGACCAGAGCACGAGAGAAACCCCTGACGCCAAGAGGAGCCGACAAGAAGCCTCCCAACTCGCCCGTGCTGTAGAAAAGTCGCTGGCGTCATATGAAGCGGAGCAAAAACGAGACCGGTTTTCGTCCCTCGAAGAACTAAGGGCTCGCCTGCAAGGGGTGTCAGTGTCTCCAAAGTGGACTGTGATTCATAAAGAAGAGTGCTCCATGTTTTTGAACATTATCGACTATCGTGAACCTTGTTTGAATGCGTCATTGACCGTGTTTGCAAACCTTGAAGTCTTTGCCTGCTATCAAGGTTCACCAATCAAGAACCTTGGTAGCGCTGTTGTACCAGACTCAGTTCAAAAAGTAAGTTCCTTGTTGGAAATTTTGAACAACCTGTCGATGCTGTCTGAGGAGCGCTGCACTTATTGCCACCTGGCTCAAGCAATACATTCCCTTGTTTGAGCCTTGTTTCCAGTTTTGTATCTCTTTACAAGTTGTTAGCTTTTAAAGGTGCTGTACTTTTTTCTTTTTTTTTTAACTCGAACTGCCTCGGTGCCCACTGTAGCAGTTGTACAGTCCGTTTTGGTACCTAAGCTGTGTACACTTTCCTTGTGCACTCTGTGTACAGACATGTTGTGCACTGTGATTTGTTTTTTTCTTAGATTTTTGTTTGATTTTTTCCCTAGGACATGCACCTACCTGTGGCAGTACAATTACTTTTCTTTCTGTCATTTATCATGCTGTGGACCACAATTTAGTCACCAGTGTTCTTTTGTATTGTATTTTTTGGCAAGTGTTTGAACCTGATACCTTGTGTTGCTACTGCTACTATGATAAACGAATGGTATGTTTTCCTCTAACCTACAATTTAAATGAAAGTGTGCTTTTTCTGTTCCAAAGCTCGGGGATGTTTTTGCTGTTACAATCTGTTTTGTTTTCTGAGTTCTATGTGGCAAGATATTGTGTTTTGTACTTTTGGCATACTTTCAGCATTAAGGGCAACATCTTGTGTTGCCTGTCGTCTGCCTGGACCGAGAACAATGTGCACTGTGATATTTGTACAGACGGCGTCTGGCTGTGATAAATAAATACGCATTATTCCATTCACGAAATTCATTATTTCTTGATACCTTGATAAGTTCCCCCGCAACGGTGGCTCAGTGGCTAAGGCGTAGCGCTGCTGAGCACTAGGGCGCAGTTTCGATACCCGGCTGCGGCGGCCGCATTTCTGATGGAGGCGAAAAGCAAAAACGCCCGTGTGTACGAGATTTCGGCACACAATAAAGATTCCCAGGTAGTAAAACTTGATCCTGAGCTCTCCCCTACGGCGCGCTTCATCGCCTGCGTTGCGTCGGCGCGTTAAACCATACAATCAATGGATACCTTGATAAATCGTGCGGACATGGTGTCAAGGAACCTCGCCCGAGTCGGTAGGCGTGAAGGGCGCTCGCGGCTGGCGCAGCCACCCAGCGAAGGGCGGCCGGCCGGCCGGCGCGATGTGACGTCGTCGACGTCACGTCACGTGACGCGCAGGCCTGAAAAGCTTCCGGGGGTGACGCCTTTACGCGGCCGTAAATAGGTCTCTTGTCAATGACTTTTAGAGGGGCCAGGTCGTTCCTGCTAAATTCTGCACCGCGTGCGTTTTGTTAGGTGATTTCAACTGCATTTTTTATCCAATTTGAGGTGTCCGAGGACCTAGTCAAGGATGAAGCACATTCCATTCCAAAGAGCTGCAGAAAATATATAGAGAGTTGAAGCTGGTCGATGCATGGACAACGCTTCACGGGAACACCTTTGGAGCCACGCGCGTTCATGGTACGTCTCAGAGCAGGATTGACAGAGTCTTCATCCCTAACGAGCTCGTTGCAAGTTTTGAGACATGCGATGTCATTTCTTTGGGGCCTGGGCAACGCAAGCTCAGCGACCACATCCCAGTGCTACTCATCTTGAAGGCCCATCTGGGAATGCATTGCTCCAAGCTGTGGCGAATGCATTCACAAATTCCAAATGATGAAGTTTCGGTATCTGAAATTCGCATGGATATATATGCGTCTTTGGAAGACACGCCGCAAATCACGCCGACAGCATGGGATCTCTCGAAAGCCAGATGGCGTGTGATTGTGCAGAAGGCAGAGAAAATGCGCCGTTCAAGTCTAACATCTCAAATGAATGAAACATTGAGGCGTATTCAAATCGTTGAGCGCACAGGTAATCTAACCGACGCAATGCAAGAGTACATTGGGGCCAAGAAAAGCTAAATACGACATCTGGTTGAGGGCAAGGTCCAGGGCTTTTAAACGCGCAGAGGAACTGCACCTGCCTATGGATGAACTAGGTAACTTGGCATACGCACAGCGAATAGGGGTAAGGAAACACCAGCCTGTATTATCGGCGCAGCACGGACAGTGTGTGGGAGCATCTTCACAGATGTCAAATCAATCGAGGAGGTCTTTCGGGTGCATTTTGAAATGTTCTACTCTACAGACCATCTTTCCAAAGAAAGCAATCAGTATCAAAGTATCACAGACTTTTGTGAAGGCTTGCCCACGCTGTGTCCTGAGGCGTCTGATATGCTCTGCGCTGAGGCGACGAAAGATGAAGTTTGACAAGACTTGAGGAAAATGAACACTACCACGGCTCCTGGTGGAGACGGAATACTGACGGGGTTTTAAATAACTTTCTTCGCCGTCCTAGGCGACGCGCTTACTGACATGGTCAACAGGTTCATTGTTGACGGGCAAAAGTTGAGGTCTTTCAGTGAGGGCCGTGTAGTCTTGCTGCCAAAGGAAGGCATGGATCATGACGATCCACGGTCGTCGAGGCCGATTACCCTCCATAACACGGACTACAAACTTGTAGCTACGATCCTTTGCTTGAGGCTAAAGCCTTTTTTGCCCGGTATAGTGTCACCCACGCAAACATGTGCCGTGGTGGGTAGGTCGACTTTTCAAACCCTTACTCTGATAAGAGATTTGTTCTATTATGCCAACGCCAAAAACGTTACCGGTGCTTTCGTGTCGTTGGACCAAGCTAAGGCCTTCGACAGGGTCGAACATGACTACCTATACTACGTACTTAGAATGTTTGGTTTGCCAGAGCAGCACGTCCGCTGTATAAAGCTTCTCTACACCAACATGACCAGCCGACTCCTCATCAATGGCATGGAGACAACAAGCTTTTCAGTAACAAGAGGTGTTCGCCAGGGATGCCCAATCACACCGGTGCTCTTTGTCCTCTCCATAGATCCTCTCCTTAGGAAAGTGGCAAAGTGCCCCAATATTCAGGGCTTTCCAATGACAGGTCTAGGGTCAGTTAGAATCACTGCTTATGCGGATGACATCTTTGTGTTCGTGCGAAACCAAGCCAGTTACCGCGCTTTCTTGGAGCTGCTCGAAGAGTATGCCATGGCACTTTGTCGGATGCTTTCCGGAATGCGGAGAAAAGCAATGTCCCTCGTTTAGGTGGCTTCCACGGCTCTTTGTCGGGCGATATCCAATACGTGGATGCCGTAA